CATTAGCTCAGTTGCCATTTCAACTCCCTAGTTTTTTTTTCACATCTTGCTTTTGGATTTATTATAAAAATTACTATGAAGGTGCAGAAAGTCACAAAGTCTCATGTCATATGAAAATAAATAAATAAATAGTATGGTAAATTATTTAAATACTTAACTAGTTAACTAGAAATTAAATTAATTATTAATGGTATAATAATTAAATAATGCATTAAATATTTTTTCATTTTTTTAAAAATTTAATTTAAAAATGTCATTTTTCAAACATTGCCTAAAAAGGACAGATCAAAGGAGAGTTTTAAGTTATCTTTACCTGTAGAAGCTGCTAAAGGCAACACAGACTACAGTTGCTGCTGTAGTTTTGTTACTCTGAATTTACTCTGCATCACATGAAGCACAGCTCTGTTGTTCTGACATTGGCTTGTCAGATAGTTTGTTCCGTCCATTGCTACAGTTATCACCATCAATCGCGTATCAATCTGGTGGATTTTTTACACTTGCGTTTGTCATTCCTGAAACAGTATACTTAGACGGTCCTCTTATACTTTTCTTCAAACTGCGAATGTAGTATGTAAGAGAAGAGCAAAGGGCGCTTCCATTATGGCGCAACTGTCCGAGCTTACTCACGCGAAAACTCCCGATATAATCAATAACTAACTACACAATGCATATCTTATTTACATCGTGTATGCTTTCTTTTTGTCTTGTTATAATAGGAAGATCTGTGAGCGTGTAGAACTACATAATTTTGCAAAAACAAAAATTAGATCAGAGAGGATTATGACTAACCTACAGTAAACGCCTCTGATTGGCCACTGCTCTCAACAGAGATGCCTGTGATTGGCTACAATACTCAACGCTGCAAAAACACATTGTAAAGGTTTTGTAATTCGAAACCAGAGCGCGCACACAAAAACATACAGGGTCGTTTGAAAGTGGGTGACTTCGAGCGGGTACAGAATTGAGTTGGTACAATTTTAAAAGCTCAGCGGATCTACACAAATCACACAAATGACCCATTTTGAATTCAAAACGGCAAATTTCACCGAAAGATGACAAGTTTGCATCACTGGTACCGAAACTTGCCAAGCGGTGATGGTGGTGATGTGCGCGTCTTTCCCGGTACCACCTATTCTATGGCAGCTTATATTAATACCTGCTTAACTCTACATAATATGCTGCTGCTAAGTGCAACCCTAGCTAACCTGTTTCCCAGTAACCCTATTAGTTATTAGACTATTACCAGTAATTCATCTTGCAAATAATTAAATGAAAATAAGCTGAAATTAACACCGAAAACATTTGTTTGTCATATAATTATCCTTAAGTCAGTCTTATCTCCATCATTTACCTCTGTCATGTTTCCTTTTTTCTTCCTCTTCTTGCTTTTTTCCACTTCTGGCTGCCAGACGGATAAATCCTCTTCATGTTTAAATTAGCAAATGCATGAGTAAGTGTGTGCTGTGCCAGTTTGAAAACGGCGGCCGACGCATCAGGAGGAAAAAGCAAGCACATCCAGCATAACGCGAGAGGGGGCCCCTAGGGGGGATGCAGATGTATTGCTCCGTTATATTAATAATGACATTTTCGATTGTGCCAATGGTCAGCTGTCGGGGGCTCCCTCAAAATGCAGGGCCCCAGGCAATTGCCTGCATTGCCTGCCCTATTGCTACGCCTCTGGGTAGGAATTAGGGATGCACCAATACCATTTTTTTTTTTTCAGAACCGATCCGATCCGATACCAAAAATTCTGATGGTTGATACCCATACTGATCCAATATCAGCAGAGTTTTTTTTTGAAATCAATGTAGAATTTCTATACCTCTGTGTGTTGACCTGATCGTCACTCTTTTGTGTGTTAAATTTCATTATAAAAAAAATTATAATAATAAAAAAATCGTGCAGCACTCCACATAGAAAAGTTTATTGAGCTTTTTCTTTTAACAGTTTTAAATTTCAGTTACTGTGGGCATGAAGAACAATTCATAGTGCTCTCTATTCCACTGTTGTGAGCTAACAGACACCCGTTAGAAAGTAACATGATTTAGTACAGCACTAAATTCCAGCAAGATAAAGTCATTTTATGCAAAACCATTTATCTTTATCTACAGATCAAGTATAATATAGGAACACTGAATCATCTTGGAGTTTCATCGTATTGACTTTTCGTAACTGAACACGACACGCAATTTGAATGCTGAATGGAGGATGACAGATGCAGAATAGTATATGCACAAAATCGGATTTAGATCGGTCTCGTCTGACTGATACCCGATCCGGTAGAAAATGGCAGTATCAGAGTGATACCGATACTGTCTGAGTATCGGATCAGCGCATCCCTAGAATGTTGTTCCAAGACCATTGATCTACACTCTAAAAACGGCTGGGTTAAAAACAACCCAATTTGGGTTATTTTGGCAACCCAGCGCTGGGTCAAAAAGGGACGAACCCAGTGCTGGGTTGTTTTAACCCAACAAGTTGGGTTATTATGTTTGACCTATCATGCTGGGTTGCTTTTTTATGGTTTAAAATTACTACACTGCTAGGCTAAAATGAACCCAAATCGAGCTAGACATTAAACCTACAAATCTTGTTCATTTTAAAATCACTTTTACACACACAGAATGACTATCAAAAGGTAAATATTTATTTAAAACAAGAGAAAACAGTCAAAAGTAACATGCATGTAAGAAGAAATTCAGAAAAGTATGGCATTAACAACTACAGAGTTTATAAATGAAGCTTTGAACATTTGTTGAATATAACTTTTAAGACCAAATTTGACTTTTTTGGTAAATTTTATATATTGTATAAAAATATTATACAAAAACACTATTATACAAAAGTTGTACAATTAGTTAATAGTTAAGTTCTTTACAAACTATTCTGGCATGACAGTAAATAAACCACAACATTAACACTGATATTATAACATTTATCAGAAACATATGTGTGAAAGAATGTGAGCATGTGTATGAATGACAG